ATAAATATCCCAGAAGGGAAGGTGCCGAGTGCTAATGAGCATACTACCCGCGTAAAACGTGGCAGGCCGTTGGGTTCCAAGGATAAGAATCCACGAAAGAAGAAAATTGTAAATACTGGTGAAGAGATCAACAATGATCAGATACCTGAAAAGGTCAGTACAACCCCTGAAGAGGTTGATTCTAAAAATTCTGACGAAAGTGATGATGAAGTTATTGAAACTTCTGTTAACTATACCACCAGTGGAAAATATTGGAATAGAAAGAAAACAAATATTGAAAATGCATTTGCATATTCTGTAGCACTCGATATAATGAAATATGACGAGGATTATGAACCAAAATCAGTTGATGAATGTCGGAAAAGAGATGATTGGGCAAAGTGGAAAGACGCAATTAAGTCTGAATTGGACTCATTGAATAAACGGCAAGTATTCGGACCCATAGTCCAAACACCTAAAAATGTGAAACCTGTTGGCTACAGATGGGTGTTTGTGAGAAAAAGAAATGAAAATAATGATATCACAAGATATAAAGCAAGGCTTGTAGCCCAGGGTTTTTCCCAGAAACCGGGTATTGATTTTGAAGAAACATATTCGCCGGTCATAGATGGAATAACATTCAGGTATCTGGTGAGCTTGACAGTACACAATAATCTTGATATGCGATTAATGGATGTGGTTACTTCCTGTCTTTACGGCTCTTTAGACCATGACGTCTATATGAAAATCCCAGAAGGGATTAACATACCTGAATCATTTAAATCAAAGCCAAAAGAATCATATTCCATCAAATTGCAAAAATCTTTGTATGGGCTCAAGCAATCAGGCCGAATGTGGTACAATTGTCTCAGCAAAAGTTTAACCAAATAAGGTTATATAAATGACCCTATCTGTCCATGTGTTTTTATAAAGAAAAATGGGTTTGAATTTGTATTCATCGCTGTATATGTCGATGATCTCAATTTAATTGGAACTCCTGATGAAATCCATAAAGCTGTTGAATATCTGAAAAGGGAGTTTGAGATAAAAGATTTTGGAAAAACTAAATTTTGCCTTGGTCTGGAAATTGAGCACTTGGAAAGTGGAACATTTATCCACAAATCAAATTATACCAAAATGATACTAAAACAATTTTTGATGGATAAGTCACATCCGCTAAGTACCCCAATGATCGTCAGAGCACTCGATCCAATAAAGGATCCATTTAGACCAAAAGAGGAAAATGAAGAAACACTTGGCCTTGAAGTGCTCATATATGAGTGCTATAGGCGCATTAATGTATCTTGCCAACAACACCTGACCTGATATATCATTGGCTGTAAATTTATTGGCAAGATTCAGTTCATCGCCTACTCGACGACATTGGAGTGGGATTAAGCATATTTTTCGCTATCTCCAAGGAACAATTGATCTCGGGTTATTTTATTCGAAAGATTCTCGACATGAATTGATTGGATTTGCCGATGCAGGATATTTATTTGATCCTCATAAAGCCAAATCTCAACTGGCTATATATTCACTTGTAGCGAAACAGTGATATCTTGGAGATCAATAAAACAAACTTTAACCGCCACTTCTTCAAATCATGCTGAAATATTGGCAATACATGAAGCTAGTCGAGAATGTGTTTGGTTGAGGTCAATGACTCAACATTTTCTGAAAATTGTGGGCGAATACCCAACGATAAAATTCCCCCAACTACATTGTATGAAGATAATACGGCTTGTATAACCCAATTGAAAGGGGGTTACATTAAAGGAGATAGAACGAAATATATCTCACCAAAATTCTTTTTTACTCATGATTTTCAGCAGAATGGTGAAATTGATGTGCAGAAAATTCGATCCGATAATAATTTAGCGGATATATTAACCAAGGCATTACCGACGGAAACATTTGAAAAATTGGTAAAGAAAATTGAGATGCGTCGACTAAGGGATCTCAAATAATGCTCAGATCAGGGGGAGCGAATTGATACAAGAATGTTGTACTCTTTTTCCTTCACTATTATTTTTTTGTCCCACCGGGTTTTTTTCTAGTAAGGTTTTAACGAGACACATTCTTTGTATAAAAGCATCCGACGGAAACATTTGAAAAATTGGTAAAGAAAATTGGGATGCGTCGACTAAGGGATCTCAAATAATGCTCAGATCAGGGGGAGCGAATTGATACAAGAATGTTGTACTCTTTTTCCTTCACTATGATTTTTTTGTCCCACAGGATTTTTTTTCTAGTAAGGTTTTAACGAGACACATTCTTTGTATAAAAGCATCCGACGGAAACATTTGAAAAATTGGTAAAGAAAATTGGGATGCGTCGACTAAGGGATCTCAAATAATGCTCAGATCAGGGGGAGCGAATTGATACAAGAATGTTGTACTCTTTTTCCTTCATTATGAATTTTTTGTCTCACAGGATTTTTTTCTAGTAAGGTTTTAACGATACACATTCTTTGTATAAAAGCATTCAAGGGGGAGTGCTAAAATAGCCACGTACGAGACACATAATCGCTATGTAGGGTGTATGCTTTTATTTCCTTCAGCGTGAGGTTTCGTCGTGTATAAATATGGGTAATAATGAAATGAATCAAATACCCTCCACTCATTCTCTCCATTCACTCATTCTCTTCCATTCTCTCTTTCAATTTCAACAATATCATACATACATATATTTATATATACATCATATAATATAATATATATACTATCCTACATACTGCATACATATATATATACACTCACGCACACACATCCAAATTTCTATATATATATTTTACTTTATATTATATACAATATATAATATAATACAAAATATAAAATAATAATTAGCGATAGAGATAATTAATATTTATATTGACTAATCCTATAATAATATTACAACAAACAACATGGGATATATGTTTCAAATTATCCTAATTCACTTTGTCTATGTTTTTAATTTATGTCTATACTATTTATCAAAAAAATGAATTATCTATAATACTATATGGTATTTAAACCATTTTTTTTATTTAAAAATTACATTAAAAATATATGATATATTTAAAATATTATATTCAAAACCTATTAATTATATTAATCAATTTATTTAAAATTACTCCGAAGACATACTTCAATAAATATTGAGGAAGTCTTAATAATTACAATATAAAATTCATATTTTGAATCGAATATTTTATTAAAAATACCAATAAGGTGTACAAAGACTAAAATATAAACAATCATTTTTGAACTTTTGCATCATCACTTAGACCATCAATGTTGATCTATGTATGTATGGTAATCAAGAATGCAAGTTTTTTACCTAAAAAAAAAATTAACTTCTCGAACACAATCAAGAACTACAAGAAGACATACAAAGTGCATCAACATATCATAATAATAATAATAATAATAATAATAATAATAACAACAAAGCAATATAGGACTATTATAAACGAACTAAGTAGCTCGTGAGCTAAGCTCGATCCGACTTGTTAACAGTTTGACTCAACTCGTTATAGAGATAAACAAGTTGAGTTTGAGCTCGAAAATTATTATTTTTATAAATAAGCCAAGTTCGAGCTCGGGATAGCTTAATTGAGTTTGTAGTAATAATAAATTTATATTATTTTATACATTAATATAATATATATAATTTTTTAATACCAAAATTAGTATTTATTAATAAAATTTAAATATTTTATTAAAATAAATTCTAAATAAAAATAGAGTTATTTAATTTGTATCTTTAAAAAATTATACTCCGTCCGTCCCTTAACAATCTATCAATTTTTCCATTTTAGCCCGTCCCATAACAAAGTATCCGTTTCTTTTTTAGTAATTGTACTATCTACCTAACATTACAAATACCCTTCTAATTTACAATATTTTACACAAATGCCATTACCTTTATATCATACAATACTACTAGGGTTAATTTAGTCTTTTTACCTTTATTTATACTTTATCTCAATATAATACTCATATTCCTAAAATCCCGTGCATAAACAAAATGAATAAATAGATTGGGGATGGAGGGAGTATATAATTTGAGCCAAATTTAAACTCGAGCTCCCGTTCGAGTCTTACGAGCTAAGTTCGAATTTGAATTTAAGTCTAGCGAGTCAATTCAAACCATTATTTTAGCTCAGATTCTTAACGAGCTAACTCAAGCTTCTACTGCTAACAAACTCGAATCGAACTCGAACAATAGATATTCAAATTCGCTCGACTCATTTAACAGTTCTATACACTAATTAAAATGGAAACTAGTGATGTATAGAGAGATGATCGAGACAAATTAAAGCCCCCAAAAAACCAGTCACAATCATGATTCCTATATACAATCAAGAATAGTCTTGACTATGAGTTAATAATGATGATCAGTTGTCTCATGCAGGCTACTGCTGGCACATATATACATATATATATATATACACATAAAATTGATCATTGTCACTGTAAATGAAGTGAGAGCACACGTATTTGCCAACTCAAATTAAATTCAATCTAAACTTCATAAATATATATGTACGAATATATATATATACGTACAAACAATATTTGAGAAGAATACACAAGAAAAGCTGAAGAGCATTGAATCGAAGGGGAATGAAAGAAATATTAATGTAAGCATGCAATGTGTGTGAAATTAAATAAATAAATGTAAAGGGTATTCAATTCTTGTTCTTCTTACTTCCCTCTCTGCCCACATTTAATTTCATTAATTAATTTCTGGGTTCAAAAAAAGTTGATGAAAAAACTCACATAAAATACTTTCATACATCAGAAATAAAGAAAATATATATATCGAAAAGAAAAGCACAGAAATCGAAATTCTAGCAAAGCCTTGAATGATGTGCATAAGGCTTCAGATATCTGCACAATGAAAACAAAAAGGTTGTTTGGAGTAATAAATGCCTTTAAAACTAACTGAATGGCTCTAACTCCATTGGAATCACCAAACCAAAAATTGATACAGCTCAAGAATTCAAGAAAAACACAAACCAAAATTGAGCACAACCAAACTATATATGCCCATCATCCTTAAACTTATTCAACATTCTAATCCAATTCAAGAATCACAGAAATCATACATTCCACAAAAACCCATACGGAAAAAACCACTCAAGAACACCTAGCTAGCTTCAAACAAGAAGATGATAATGCAAGAGAATCAGCAATCAGACACAAGAAATATAAATAAAAAAAAGGGGCAAGGAAACCCTAAATTATCCAATTTAGGGAAAGTTCAGCCACAATAGACTAAAGAACACCACACAAGCAATTGTCTCCATGAGAGGTTGCAGAATCCACAAGTTTTTTTCTGTCTGCATTTACTGATCTAGCAGGAATGGAAATATATATATAGAGTTTGTTAATTATTTAGGTGCATAGAATACTAGTAAATAATTAGAGATCATATATGTCTATGGAATCCCCTACAAGATCAAGATCAAGATCGAGATGTTGTCTGAATAATCGATGAATCGAAAGGCCACATCATCATCTTCATCGTCATCAAAGCTGCAGCTTCTTACCGAGTGTGTTCTTGTTGTTGTGCATCCACACTTTGAAGACATGCCTCTTAACTCCGATCTCCACGCAGAACTGCTGCACCATCTCCTCGTTCTGTTTCTGAATTTTCCAATCCAAACGCGTCGCTAAGCTCAGCATCTTGTCCTTTTGCTCCTGCGTGAACTTCGTACGGAACCGCTTGCTCTTCCCACCGCCGCCGCCGTTGGGGTTCGAGTAGTAGTAATCCTCCATTTCGTTATAATCCCTCGACCCGCTCGCCGCCCCGCCGCCGCCGGAGCTCGACGGAAGGGCCAGCGGCGGCGGAGTAGCCCTCTGCACTCCCGGCGGTGGCGCCGCCACCTGAAGGTACCCGCTCGGCCCGCGGTATCCGAAATGCCCGTGCGGGTTCAGGAGCGGGTACGGAGGAGGCGGCGCCGCCGCGGGGGCGTCCGCCGACTCCTTCCGGTGAAAATTGCGGTGGCAATTGCAGGCGGCGCACTTGAGGAATTCGATTGTGCCCTCCTCCCCCGCCGGCATGAACTCGCCGCAGCCGTCGACGGCGTAACCGCCGAGGCCGACGGCGTGGTTCTTCTGACACTCCCTGTACTTGGGCCTCCGCTGCGGCGCCTCCGAGTCGGCGGCGGCGGCGGCGGCGGCGGCGGGAGGCTGATGCGGCGGCGGGTCGCTGAAAGTCGGGCCCAATCCCCCCTCTCCGGCCCCCTCGTGCTGATCCTCATACTCCATCAATATCCCCTTTTTTAGCTTTATTTTTGAAGCTTAATTATCACAGATCAGCTGCGTATATATATACTAATAGGCTTTTAGGTTGTCTACATGCATTTCTTAACCCTAGCCGGGGTGGGGGTCACCGGCAACCTGTTCGACCCGTTTTTGTCTTTTTGTGCTTAGTACAACATAAATTCTAAGGGACTTCCCCTTACAGTAATTTATGTAAATCATTTTATTAATTAATATAATTATGTACCTGACAGGTATCAGCTCTTTCGGTAATAAATGTAGCTGTAGCTTTGCTACTGCCACACGCTTCAGCCTCGCGTGTGCCGCCACGCGCGCGGATTGCACTATGTTTTTATCGCTTTGGATTCAATTTTTTTTTTTTTTTTTTTTCTAATTATTATTATTATCTATGTTTATTCTATTACATTCTATTTAAAGCATGGGAGTAATGATTATAGATTCAGATTGTTCATAAAAATTGAAGAGTTAATTTGAACAAAGTTTTTGAAAAATTATATTTACCATAGTACTTCATTTTTACATAGAAAAAAAATGAACGTTAAAAATTAGTACTATTTAAATTAAAATTTATCGATAAGTTCACCACGCGCTGTGCGGTTACACCTAGAAGAACTCGACAAGGGATTTAAGTGTATGTGGGTCCCATTTGAAACCGCCGGGATAAGACAATAGTAGAAAACAGATATGTACGTTTCACCTAGAAACGCTCGAAAAGACGTTTGGTAGGTATATGTGGGTCTTACATAAAAGTGTTTGGTCTAGAAACGCTCGAAAAGACGTTTGGTAGGTATACGTGGGTCTTACATAAAAGTGTTTAGTCAAGACTTTTATATAAGTGGACCCCTTTTTAATATTTTCGAAGCGACTGTAATATTTATGGTTCTTACAAAATAAGCGTTTGTTCAGGACTTCTACAAAAAAGTTTTCAGAGACCGTTTCAATATGCGTAGGTTCACTTAATATATTTAAGTCTATCAAATTTTTGAAATTATTATTTTGAATTTTAAAGTTTTATTTTTCCTATTAGTTCAAATGAGATTTAGTTACCGTTAGACACAAATATATGGTATTTTGTGACGGTTGAACCAGCCGTTTAAATTGGAATACAGGACTAGTAAATTTTATTTTATTTTGTCTTTACTTAATGTTTGATTGTATATAGGTTGCAAGTTTTATATGAATTAAATTATAATTTGATATTTAATGTATAGTTTGTAATGTTTCCAATTGTATTTATAAGTTGAGTTATAACTTATGTATATTTTAAAAATAGTTTAAACTTTATCAATTTAAAATTGTAAGGTTATGTATTTACAATTGTTGGATCCCAAGTCCAAATGACTCAAAGTTGAAGGTAACAACTTTCATCGGGTTGCGGTGCTTCCATAGAGTAAGATGATGTAGTTTCCACAGACCTTTACATAACAACCTCAATCAACTCTGGGTTGGTAACTTCATAACATTAATGGAAGACCCCGGCACCTACTTTTTCTTATATGAAAAGCTCCATAGGTCAAACTAAAAGAAAGAACAAGAAAGATTTCATATAACTCGAGGCTGTTGGGGACATATCCCCGTAGACCGGCTAGGAGTATGATGGAAACAAGTCAGGGTAAACTGCATGTCTGATCTAGAGGCAATGGAAGAAGTTCAAAGCGAATGGAACCCGGTCCAAAAACAACATAAGATATTCAAAACAATAGAACACGGTCCAGAGGCAATGAAAGCAGTTGGGAGCCGATGAAAAGAAGTTACTTGACAGTTGAGAGTGGTGGAGGAATAATTGAAACTGCTTTTTTAGTGGAAGAAGTGGTTATTCTATCTTAGGATTAAAACTAGGAAAAAAAACACCACACACGTAGAAGAAGAACAACTCGTATTTTTTTTTTTCTTTTTTTTTTTTTTCATGTTTTAGTTTTGTTTTATGCAATTTAATTCGAATTATAAGCTTTTATGTTTCTTGCAATTTGTTTTATTTGCTTTCCATAAATTATCTTAGTTTTGTTTGATCAATCGCTCGAGATCTCAGTGACCCGACAACGGATTGACTATTTGGAGTATTTTTGGAACCCACACCGACAAATCGACGAACGATTTTAAAACCTCTGAATTTTAGGATCCAACAACAGTATAACAAATTATAATTCAAATATGATAAATGGAATGAATATGGATCAAATTTGAACATTATTTTATTTGTATATATTTTATATAAGTTTAAATTAAAAACGTGTAATTTTATAAATTTTGGTGCATCACACTGATATTTTTTCTCTTAATAATAGAGAAATAAATTAAAGGAAAAAAAAAACTTATAAATAAATGAGTGGTTTCAAGTCATTCCAATTGGAGAAGAACCGAAACTTGTAAAATGAACTAAAACCATTATTTGGATAAATTTGATTTTGAATTTCCCTTTTGACAAATCAAATTGTTATTGGAATGATTTGAGAAAGTACACTCAAATGAAGCTTTACTAGTACATAATATGTGTAAGTTTTATTAATCAATAATGCATTTTTAGCAATGCTTAATGAATAATAATAAGAGTGGGACCACACAAATGTTCAAAATAATTCCAAAATAGAATGACAATTTTATTGTTACGTTAAGACAAGAGATTTTTTAGAGCCAACCATTACAATACCATCACGGTTGTCCTTCTTCAATTATTTTTTATTTTTTATTTTTATGTGTTTTTAAGTACAAAATTTATGAAAGACTAATATGTGATTCAAATCTGTAATCCCATTCATTTCCACCCATTACCCACTATACATTCAAGCCATTGGCCGCGATTGTTGAAGAAGTGAAGGTTCGAGCAAACTTCATCGAATACAATTCTTATTCTCTTCGAAATTGAGGTAAAGATAGTATACAGAAGATCCTAAGTCTTTTATTCAATTTTGCATTAATTTTACGTGGTTCATTTTCTACAAATATTGACAGTGGGTTTCACTTAAATGAGCTACTTGAGCAAACTCTACCAAGTGAGTTTGATGTCATATCGTGTGACTAGTTAATCCAAGAAAAACAACAAGCCAAAGTGAGATCTTTAATTAATCTCAATATAGACTTGATTTAGTTTCACAAAATGAATTTTGGGCCTTTTTATATGGAAAAAATTTGGTAGAATTGAGTTGCCTTCGATTAGTGATAATTAGTTGAGTAATTAGCATTAGTACTTGATTTTTATAGGGTTGTGTCCAATAAAAGGTTTATAAAAAATTTTAGGTTTCTCTTAATCTACTTCACGATCCCATGCAGGTAAAGGGCTATAAACGTTTCATTAAAGGCTCATTCCAAATTCGTTCAATTTTGAAGAGAATTCGATCCAAGGCTTGCATACCAACTACAGGTAGGACCTATTAAGGATAAATAAAACAACTAAGAGTTTATTCAATTCATTATTATCATTCTTCCCTCACCATTAAGAGGTGGCAGGAAAGGTCGAGGAACCTAATTAATTTGGATGAAATAAATAAATAATATTTATTTATTATACGTTGGGCTTGGTTAATAATTTTGGCTATTTTTCCTATCTCGAGACAATCCAAATTGTGCAACACTAAGTTAAACCCGAGCATATGACTTAAGTCGCAGTATTATCTAGATAAAATATTATCCGTTAGATGAATTTATTATATTCTAATAAATTACAATCATTTCAAACGGAATGTTTCAAATTAGAATAAATTATGATCATATTCAAATGAAAGATTTGTAGTTAGAATTAATTACGGCGTCTCAAATGGAATGTTTGAAATTAAAATAAATTACATCGGTAATTAAGGTCGTAATTATGATCGTAATTGATCCATGTCATTTTGGTTGAGTGGAGACGCCTATATAAAGGGTCTCCCCCTTTTATTCCAAACACACCAACAATTCACTCCTTATTTTCTCAACTCTTATAACTTTTCGGCAACTTCCCCAACTCAATTCTTCTCTCCATTTGTTCGCCGGAGCACGATCAGAGGTGTCATACGTTGGAGACGGAAACCGAGTTATCTTTGGGTTAGAACACCAGCCACCAGAGGCACTACCGGGACATATCTAATTTTCGGAAAGGGGATCATCATTGACTCGAGTTTACGGTAGATTTTATTCTCGCACTACCCATTTAAACTAATAATTGAAAATTAGATACTACTTTCCGAGAATGTTAACTCCTACCGAAGTCGCTGGAGCCACCGGAGCCGCCGTCAGAGGAGTTGCCGGAGCTACTACCGGAGTTACTACTCCCCTTTGGGCCAATTCCCTATATAGGTAGTCCTATGTTTTTTGGATTTGGTACAGGAGGATGTGAGGGCTTTCCTGGGTTTGTGCCGCACCCTCTATTACCTTCGCGGCCCAAACTGTTGGTCCTGGGCTTGGCCCACGGATGATGCCCCATGTACAAGTTCCACAACAATTCATTGGAATGGACTTTAAGAGGTGACATGAGAAGATGCCCTTCTACCTGACTGCCTTTGAGTTCGCCATGTTCATATTGCACGATGGCCCAGTTATCCCAGAGCCCGGTGCGGACCAGGAGACGCATGCGAATTATGCATCGTGGGCACATGAAGACTACATAACAAGAAATACCATATTAGGTAGTCTCTCTAACTCTCTTTATAATGTAAATTGTAAAATAAAGAGTAAGAAAGGGTTATGGGATACCCTTGAGAGAAAATATATTTCTGAGAATGCCAGGTCCAAAATATTTGTTGTGGCCCGATTTATGGACTATATAATAGTAGATGGCAAGTCCGTCGTCGAACAAGTGGAAGAATTTCAACACATTGTTCACTTTGTTATCGACGAGAAAATGCAATTGCCAGAAAAGTTCGTCACGAGTGTGATAATCGAGAAATTGCCTCCGAGTTTGAGCAATGGTTTATGGCAATAATAGAATTTGTTCACTTAGAAATTTCAACAACTTTTTGTCTCATTTGGTTGTATATACCATGCAACCTTGTAAAGAACAGCCCTCTCATTAATTTCCCTTTACATAAAATAGGATAGAGTGTTCTTGAATGAATCTGCACATTTTTTACCACC